GGAGAATGCAAATGTCAAGTCACACCAGCAGCACAAAATTAAGGAAATTTCCTTACATCACCTAGGCCAAATCCATAAGTTTGAAAAGACATTGTTGTCTTTTTACTGCTACCTACAGGCATGCGATTGTCACCCTTATTGGCATTGCCAAGTGGATGAGGGCTTGAAGGAGGAGTGGCAACAGGTTGAAAAGAATAATTAACATTGCTATCCAAAGTGTCCCACGAAGAAGTCAGAACTGTTTTGTTGAGAATATTAGATGCTCGAACCTTTCCAAAAATTGGTATAGGTCAGAAATAATATACTTGAATGTCATAAAGAGAGAGCACTTACATCAGGTTGCAGATGGAGTTTGCCAGGGTTCTTTGGGAAGGGCGGAACACCCACACCAACACACAGCCCAGCCTCGTCCAGTAGGACAACCATCTTGTCAGTGGGAAGCATTCGGCACTTGTCTTGCATGGATATCGAACTTTCGAAGACCTTGCTGTAAGTGGGATATCGCAGGCAGAAGGGTTGTTGATCGCTCAAGCCTTGATCGTACTGTTGGATTGTTTTTTGAACTTGTTTGGCAGCATCGAGAAGTTGGTTTTGAAGTGTGGTTTGAGGGGGTGCACCGCAGGGGGGTTGTTTTGATTTCTTAGCACTTCGGGGTTCTTCAGCTGGTTTGGCCTTGTGGTTGGGTTCAAATTGCGTGAGAACCATGTTAACAATTGATCGAATATGTTCCTGAGTTCCAAACTCCTGCATTAAGAAGACTGCCAGTAAGTCAAAATCCACAACCTCGGTGTGGCACTCTTTATGTAGGTGGTTAAGCTGCTTGCACAGTTGTCGAACCAGGACCTCAGTATCCTTGTCGGAGTAGTCAATCCCCTTCAATTCATGAACCTGAGTGGTTTCGTCCATGTCACCTATAGCAATTGGCAAAATGAAACACATGGTAAATTAGCTAGGTTGGCAAAGACCCTTGGAAATCCCCATTGAACTCCTGGTTGATAAAGCAGGAGCCACTGTTCCCCTGACTAGTACGCCTGGTTTCCAATGGCCCCACAATATGACAATCTGCGGACTAGTACGCCACACATCCTGCCATACAGCGCCTTTCTCAAACCTGGGTTCTATTCCATGGGTTGGGATATGAATAAGAATGAGGGAGACCGAGTTGACAAGATGACATTACTTACTTAGATTTGCCTGGAATGGATTGGGACGGTTGGTGAATGTACTGGGTTGACAAGCGTCTATTTTAACCGGAACAACAACCCCAGGTGATCCTGTTGAAGCAATGGGGGTTTGAGTCAGTTGATATACACATACACAGGTGTTGGTTTAGTTTAATGCAGCTGAAACTTACTAAACAGACCAAGTGGAGGAGATAGATTGGGTCAAAGCTGGAGTGGAGTTGGAAAATGTACACAGTAGAATTGAATCCTGGGCCTATGTTTGAAGTCGATGATCGGATTGTGGTTTGAACTGGTCAATTGCGGGCGGGATTAACAAGGGGATTGATTGAGTCAAAGCAGGAGTGGGGTCGGTGAGGTCGAGTTCTAGATTTGGATACTTGGCCTATGTTTGAAGCGTGAAGTGGATGTGTATGGGGTTGTTTTGCACTGGCAGGGGGCATTAACACATGAGCAGAGGGGATTGATTGGATCAAAGTAGGAGGGGAGTTGGGGAACGTACAGTGATATTGGTTTAATGGGCCATTGAGTTTGTCAATGAGAATCAAAGACCAGTGTGTTTGAAGTGGATGGGCTGGGGGGGAGGTGGCGAGGGAGGTGGCGAGGGGGGTGGCAATTTTAGGAGTGGGGCGAACTTGAGACCCGCCCTGGAGGAACTGAACGTTGTTTTTGTCTGTCTCCAGACTCCCATCTCTGTACATCGTTGACCAACTCGACCAACTCGGCAGGCCCTCCATCATCTTCTTTCTTCCCCAGCAGTGAGAGAGCCCTCGGATGGGGTCGATGCGGCTATTTGAGTGGGACAGGCTTGAGACCCAGGAGCGCGGCTGCGTCGCGAGTCACGCTCAACTCGAACCAACTCAGCAGGCTCACCAACAATCTTCAGGAACCATCGTAACCTTTCCAAGTCTTGGAAACCCAACCCCATCTTGCAAACGGCCTATACGTCCACTCGTGGCAACCGGAGGTTCGACACAATGAGTGTGTCGTTTGAAGTTAGTCTTTTTTTTGTTCAAAATTCGTGATTAGTAAGGCCAATGGCTACAATACTTTCCTTTTGAACAGACTAGCTTAGGGGATCTAGTCGTCGATCTGGAGGTCGAATTGTGCCCGAAAACGAGCAAAAATTTCCTGAAACTATGCAAGATTTATTATTACAATTTCTGCTCATTTTTTAACGGTAGGTGTCCTCCTCCGGATCGATCAATTGATGCGTAGTAATATCAAAGATGAAACTTGTCGTTTTTTTCCCAGGACTGATATATGTTTTGAACGATTATTAATTATCGTAGTACAGAAAGACTTCATTGCTCAAACCGGAGATCCCACTGATCTTGGAACCGGTGGCGAATCTGTTTATGCCCGACTCGAACGAAGCGATTCACATCCAGACTATGGCAACCGATACTTTACCTGCGAGCTGGCGACCCAGAAGGCGCCCAAGTCGCTCAATCATGGTTGACGGGGGACGCTGGCGATGGCCGTCTCCGAAGGGAAGTGTGCCAGCCAATTCTTCTTCACGCTTGCGGATGGACTGAACGAGCATGTGGTCTTTGGCCGACTGGTTGAAGGCTTCGAGACCTTGGAGCAGATCAACAATCCCTTGGTTGATGAGCAGGGTCGGCCGCTACGAGACATCCGATTACGACACGTGATCGTCCTCGACGACCCCTTCGACGACCCACCAGGGATCCTTATTCCTCCCCAATCACCAGCTGAGCCTTCGAGCCATCAGGGGAAAGTGCTTCGCGTTGGTGACGACGAAGAACTCGACCAAGAGCTCCATCCGGTGGTGGTCGAAGAACGGCGGCGGGAGCGGGAAGCTCGAGCTCAAGCGCTGACGCTCGAGATGGTCGGTGATCTACCCTTCGCCGAGGTCGCCCCTCCCGAAAACATCCTCTTCGTTTGCAAACTCAACTCGATCACTCGCTCCGAGGACCTCGAATCGATCTTCAGTCGCTTCGGAACTCTCCTGAGCTGCGAAGTCATCAAAGACGCCAAGACCGGCGACAGCCTTCAGTATGCATTTATTGAATTCGATCAACGTGAAGATGCTGAACGGGCGTACTTCAAAATGGATGGCGTCCTGATCGATGATCGTAGGATCCACGTTGATTTCTCACAATCAGTATCCAAACTGTGAGTTGATGACACAAGTGCCGGACGACCCATCATCCAAAAGGAACTTTCTTCACAATCTAACCTTGGATTCTGTTTTCAATAGACATTCGGATTGGATTTTCAAGAGGACAGGGAAACGAGTGAAGCCGAACCAGACCAACGAACAGCGCCCCAAGAAGCGGCAGCCCTCGGAAAGATCTCCACCACGTGCAAGGCGCGATTCGAAGAACGAGATGTCATTTGATGACGCCGATCTGATAGAGCGTTCCGCGCGACGTTCTGACCATCAAAGACACGATGATCGACGCCCACATTCCAGCAGGGACCATAGATCCAATCATCGCCAAGATTCCAGAGCCCATCATGACTCCAGACACGATCGTAGCAGACGTCGATCTAGAAGCCCCGCCCGCATACACCGGTAGCAACACTCATCTGCCCTCCCCCTCACTTGTTCGTTATCTCCAGGCGATCCCACAAGACAGCTATCATCGATTGTATTCAGTTCTCAGTGAAACCGTGCTCACCTGCCACAAACCTTCGAAAACCCACCCTGATTTTTTAAACGTTGATGATGTGTCGCACACCTCGATAAAGAAAAAGAACGTTTTTTCTGCCAGGAACACCATATTGCGATCGCGCGCCTAACTTCTCAAGTGACCATGAGACCAAAACTGATATGTATGCTTGCTTTATTTACACGTCCGAAAAAGATCACTTGTACCGGCTCTTGTTGTATGTTTACCAAACGCCTCCGCCAATTCCTGAAAGAAAAAAAAGCATACATCTAAATCTGCTACTGATGGATGTGGAAATGACGCCCCCCCTGGTTTTCAGTGGGGAGTGGATTATTCTCAGGCAGTGTGTCCATGCTCTCTTCTCTCCGATGTAATCTATGGGCTCCGCTTTAGACTCAGAATCATCTCTGATGTGAGACTATTTCGTGAGCACAAAAGCGTAAAGACGTATTTCAACATGTAGATGTACTTGACTCGTGTAGTGTTTAAAACGTCATGCACATCCTAAGAATCATGTGGCATGCTAAAGCCCCAGCCGTCAATCGAAGGGATTTGTTCGTCAGATAGACTGGCCCTCATCATAATTCAGTCGAGGTGGATGGTTGGACTCGATTTGTGCAGTTTGGGACATGATGGAGGCTTCCATTTCTGAAAAACAATTCCTGTGAAGTTTCTGTTTAAGTCGTTCTGAGTTCTCATAGTTGATATAGAATTGTTAGAGAGTCAAGATGATGGTGTACATATGTCACCGTCAAGAGGAGGCGACGCCGTTTGATATGTAGCTAAGAACCACCAAGTCAACTTCTGATTCGCACACAGAGGAGTTTCCAAGTGACAGCTCCCTCCCTGGTTTCCAGTGAGGAGTGGACTGTTTTTGGGCCTGTGTTCATGCTCTCTTCTCTCGGGTGTAATCTATAGACCCTGCTTTGGACTCAGATTCATCTCTGTTGTCAGACTGTTTTGTGAGCACCAAAGAGTAAAGATGTACTTCAACTTGTAGATGTACTTGACTTGTGTAGTGCTTAAAATGCCAATCACATCTGAAGTATCATGGTATGCTGAAGCCCCATAATTCATTGGAGGTGGATGATTGGACTCAAGTTGAGCAGTTCATGACATGACAGTGGCTTCTATTCAGGAAAACAATTCTTGTTTCACTTCAGAGGAGAGATTTATAGAAGTTGTTCTGAGTGCTCATATATGTTGATATTGAATTGTAAAGAATCAATGTACAGCCCCTTGACAGAAAAAATGGGACCCCCTTAATTGGAGTCCAGAGGGCAAACCAATGGACTTCATGCTTCCTGGTGAAACTGTGGAAAAGGAGTTCTAAAGAATGATTCTGACAAATTGGATAGGAAATTATTTTGTAAAAATTTTGTGTAATATATCTCAAGGTGTTGACTGTTACACTTGTTCTGTTTGATCACTTTGGGTGATCATTTGGAGCTGGCACAATTGTCAATTCCACTGTCAGTGTTGCAGGCCAGGCGCGGGCTTACCAAAATTGAATGCCTGAACAGTTGTTTCAATTGTTGCCCTCACAAATAAAAACTGGAGCTCATGTGGAAGCTCTAGTACAGCTTTCAACACTACTGCCTGAATCCTAGACACATACCACAAATAATAATAATAACTAGGCCTGAGAAAGATCTTGAATTAAAGAGCACCCTGTATCAGAGTGCTTCTCCCTTGTAACATGAAGGATTAGTGAGTGAACTAATAAACATTATGATAAATAACTCAGAAGATAAATAAGAGAGAAAATCTGGACTTGGTTACCACAAACATTCATTTCTGGAGCATGCTATTTATTCAACTCTGGTCCTGGTAAGTAAATTTAGTCTGTGGGTTTGTGTGAAGGATGAATGTAAAAAATTTACAAAATTACATTTTACTGTGAATTATTTTAAGGGTCTGCCTTTTGGAAGACCAAAGGTTTCCCACATGCACAACAAAAAAGGTGTTTGCTCCAGAGTTTTTTGAAGTGCACACAAAAAGGGTCAAAACTTGATGATTTTGGAGTACATGGTTGTGGACTCCAAAGAATCTGGAGTGTACAGCTTTGCACTCCTGTAAATCTTGGAGAGCATACCTATCCAATTCAGTGGAATTACTTACCAGGTTTTTCCAGGGGTACAAATCCTGGACCCCTCTGAATAATTTGGTTTTGGTGTGCATGGGGTAAATCTTTGGGGTTCCAAGTGGAAGACTCTATTTTAATGGTTGACTGAACAACCATTGAGGATATATGTATCCTTATTTGAATCCTGAGCTTGACCCAATAATAGCTGAATTTTTAAAGATATGGATTTGTTGGTGGGGTGGTAGTGCAAGAGGCTCATTTGTTTTACATGGTTGGATTTCACCAATTTTACCTGTCACCCAAAATTATTTAATAGGATCATTGGTCGTCAGGTGAAAGTTCCCAACCCTGCCGGTTATTTCAGTTTTATCCCTCATTCTTGTATTGGTTGTGGTAATTTTTCTGATTCAATTACCAATTCAAATCCACTGCTAGGGGATTTTGCCTCAGTATCACTTTTAAAATATTTCAATTTACTCAAATAATACCCCAATTGACTTCACATATGTTTTATTTTCTGCTTAGAGTCTTGTTGGGCCATATATTTGTTTAAAATTTCTTTCTCTACCCTTTTCATTTCTCATACTTTGATTTTTTCACAGATATTTTGGTGTGTTCTAATCTTGATTGAGATCATCAGTTTGTTTTTTTTTTCAATGGGAGAATCAGCTTTCAACCAGCAGCTGCACCAGGACTTTTTTCCAGTAAGTATTTGTCTGAGACATCCAGCTTTGTTGGATCAAATGAAATATCATTTCAATGGATCATCTTCCATCTCTGAGCTGGAGGGACTTAGCTGAGCTTGCATAACTTGGTGCATGCAGTAAATCCCTCTATGTGTGAATAACTCGGCCGATGTAACTCGGCAGATGGAGTAAATCCCTCCATGGAACCATGGAGTCTGTTCAGTTGAATCAAATTTCAATGGAATTAAGTATAAGTATGTATCAAGATAATTACATAGACATATTCAACCGGTGGAATTAATTCAAAATGGCTGTCAAATTTATACACATGCGGTTTGGAAGGTAGGCATTCAGTCTGAAGCCCAATACAATTGAATCCTAGAAAATCTCGCCAACCAAGAAGGGTCCATCAAATTCATCAACATGCCAGCTTTCGAAGGAGAAGGAGGAAAAAAGCGAAAACGGACTCGAAAACCTGCCAGTTCCGCCGGGATTGCCTTGAAGGAAGCCCTGGAACTTGAAAGCCAACACGCATTGATCTCACAGCCCACTCAACCGAACTCAAGTGATGAATTTCGGCAACCAGAGCACCTTTCACCTCAATTTCAACTCCACACTGTCGAGAATTTGGCTCATGACAATAATCCGGAGCCCCAAAGTCCAACTCCAAATTCAACAACCGATCCCCAGGTGACCAGTCTTCTTGATTATTTTCGCAGTGAAAATTACAAAAAGAAAAGAGACCTCGAGGAGAAACATTGGGCGGAAGTTTACCCAGGTATGTTCTCTTGGTTCAGCCAATGTGCTACTAAGACATCCGATTGGGGAAACGAGGATGTGTGGAATCATGACTGGAAAGAAAGATGCGCCTGCAATCACACTCGGACCCGTCATGTTGTTCTAGTGGATCTTCTCAGTGAGTCATCATAGTCCTATATTAACATAGATATACATACACTCATCTCAACTGTACACTTTGTTGTGAATAGGACGAAAGCAAGAACCAGTCGACTTTTGTGAATGCCAAACCGATCAAGTCCGACTCATCCAAATGGGATATATCGGAGGTTCCCCTAAGTTTCCCAAGACAGCTTTCTCAATCCGTCTGCTACAGTTCCACCATGTTCTTTGGAAATACAGTTCAGTAGCCGTAACCCCTTTTTCAAAAGCTCTTGACGAGTTTTTGGACTCAAACAGCCCTCTAATTCTGGTAAACCACCATGTTTCCAATGAAGAAAACTTGCACAGTGTATGTAACAAAGTATTGATACAGTTGAAGTAGAATTATTAATCCTTAGTTTTAACAGACTCGGAAATGGAGGAGAACATTGACTTCAGCCATTGATGCATATCGTGAGATGCTTAGACGAGATGAATTGCTATCAGAGGAGATGCTTTCGACCGGGCCAATGGATCAAATGGCTGATATTTGCCCAAAATGCTTTGGACCACCAGTACCCGGAAAAGAAGAAAGCGAGCCAGACTACATAGTATGCATGGACGGAAACTTCCAGCACCGAAGGCACCTTGCAGCCAGTATTGAAAACTCAACCCTCAAGACTCCCCACCTGTTTATTCAACCTGACGAGGTGAAAGATATGCAAACATCGATGCAGAATCAGATGGAAAGCAACCAAGCTAATGTAAATGTGGTATGTAGCTTGTTTACCTAATTTGATAATGAGAATTTGACTCTATGATACTTGTTTCAGGATCCGTGTTCAGAGCAACACACAGCTGCAAACGATATCCAAGGGGCAAGTACATGGGCTGCTTGTGACGATACTGGGATTTTTGGCTTGGCATGCCGACATGACCAATTATTACAAATGATAAACATAGTTCAGAGTGGTGAAAAGTGAGTGTTCAAATTCTTCATCTATTAAATGTGGACTGAACCATAATCCAAATACCCATAGGGCCTACTACCCCATGACAATGATAAAACACCTTTTATCTAAAACCGATACCGATGGAAATGATCCAAAGAAGATTGGGTTCCTATATGATATTGGTTGTAACATTGAAAAAGGAATTATTAGACGAAATCAATTTGCCCTTGAAAGAAATAACAATCAGCTGATGTTTGGAACTAGTGTGTTTCATTCTTATGTCCATGAATGGTCATGCCAGCTTCGATATAACCCCAGACTTAATGTTGGATGGGGATTCTCAGATGGCGAGGGACTAGAAAGGATCTGGGCTTACTTGTCGCCTCTCATAAGTCAACTCAGATACTCAACTAAAAATCACCGCCTCACAGCCTTGGATCTCAGGTCAGATCATCACAACAAATTAGGAAGGTTTAATGCACGTACGTCATGTCCTATCACAATCTACAATAATTAGTTGTCCAATTAACTAAGATAAAAACAAATCTGAAACCTTCCAGTAAAGTTGCTTCTGGAACGGGGGAAAAGTATTGAAAAGGTGATGAAAGCTTCAAAGGCGAACCTCAATCAAATAACCAATGAACACGGACACTCGGTGCAATATTTGCAAGAACAATGGCTCAGACAAAGAGAATGTCAGCTCAGTGTGATGGAAACTGATACTGAGAGGAATTTGAAAGCACATGTGGAAGAATTGGTAGAATTGGAAGATCAACTGAGGGAAGCACAGTAAGAAAAATTTCATTATGCTTTGAACAAATGGGATAAATTGACCATGTTTTTTTCCTAGTGAGAAAATGGTATCACTACAGAGAAGTAGGAGGCGGAACCAAACCGAAGCCGAAAGAATAGAGATCGAAAACCTCCCAAATACACTCGTATTACTTGAAGAAGAGATTGAGAAAGTTGTCCAGGAGCTCGGTTCAGAAGCCTTTAGGAATTTACCAGGGTCATCAGGTCAGTAATTCTATGAACCAGTTGCATGGCCCCAAAATCTAAGTTTTTTGCACTTGCAGACGAAGAAACCAAACTGTTGATCAAGTTGAAAATCAGCAAAGCAAAGCTGTATGAAGCCAAAGTTGGGGTATCTGAGACGCAGAAGAAATGGGATCAACCTCAATCAGGTTGGTGATAGATATGCAGAAAGGTACATTTTAGAATGATTTTATTGACTGCCCACCTTCTGTCTGCTTTAGGTACTAGAGCGCAAGCAAGGTTCCAAAAGCTGATGAATTCCAAAAGCAAACAACTGAAAACCAAATGGATATCGTATGACACTAAGGCCCGCGATTACAACACACAATTCTCGCCAACACACACACTAGATACACCTGATTTGGAGGCTATCAGGCAGATGAGACTGGATGATGTGTTCTGGAATTTGGGACCATTTACTCATCCTGAAGAACCTTGGGCAGTCAACACAACTATTCAAGAAGGAATTGAAGCTTATCTCCTATTCAGTCACAGCCAGGAAGAGCTTGGCCGGATTGCCAGAGAGGCGCGTCAGGCCCTCAAGTGGGGTGTTCTTAAATCACAATTGCTAGAAAGAGTTTCCCAATTTTTTCAATCAGGCAAGTTTGATATTTTGATCAAAAATAGCCTACATAGCCTAAAATATCTGATTGCTGTTCCTATTCATCATGCTAGATGAATCAACAATCACAGATGCAAACAATGATCGGCAGGAAGTTTTAACCAACTTATGCACCACACACGGCTTCTCCAGATTGGTTCTGGGGTCTGTATACCGAAAACTAGCAAAGAATCACTGCCGGATTTGGATGTCTTGGAACTTGAATTGTTTGAATATCCTCAATTGGAGTGCCAAATATCTCACCCCAGCCCACAACGATGCACAACTAAAAAATGAATGGGAGGATGTCATTCGCAGATGTAGTCTTTTGTGGGAAAAACTTGTCAGCAGTTCACCCATTGTTGTAGATTTAGAAAACCCAGATGAACATTTAGAAGAGGGGATACTAGATGAGGAGGAGATACCACCACAGCTAAACAGTTATATAATGAATGAATTATAAAATTACTTTAACAATTATATAAAACTAGTCCTGTATCACATAACATAATCAAATTTTGCTATTTTTGGAACTCAAATGCACAAGTGCCCAACCAAGTTATTTTTGAAAAATTTGACATCAAAAGATGATGAGATACACATTGAAAGTAGTTTTTATATTGAATTGAAGTGACACCTGAAAAGCTGGCTCAAAAAAGGTAAGATTTCTGCAGGGATAGAAATTTTTTGAAGGACAAAAATTGTTCAGGTGCAAATGAAATACAGACATAAAGTTGGCAGGTTGGTTTCCACCTCATCTTCATGCTAGCTATACATATGTATAGCTCCATTTAAAATGTCAAAATTGAACATAGGTGTTGTCCAATTTTCAATTTTTTACTCCATAATTGGATAACCAACATGTTTAAAAAAGGTTGGATTTTTTCAAACCAGTCAATTAAATAATGGTGGATTTTGTTATATTTGATACCCCCTAATAAGTTAAAAAAATTAATTAAAAAAACGTGTTCAAAAGCAGAATCCGCGTGTGCTGCGTGCAGCAAAGACCACCCCAATTAAACACAGAAAAACCACATTTTTTATTAACACAGAAAAACCACATTTTTTTATGGGCCTTAATAACAGAACTTGGTTTAAAAAAACATGTTTTTTCCGTGATTTGACGCGGTTTTGGCTGCATGCAGCAGACGCGGTTTCTGCGTTCAGACACAGTTTTTTATTTAATTTTTGACACTAATTTTTTAATTATTTTTGAATTTTTAAAATTGTTTCCTACATTGAAAAACGTGTAGGATTTGATGGTGAAGTCCATTTACCATAAAAATGACTTTTAATCTTTGTTTTTTTTTTTCATTCACTTTTCCCATTAATGGTTTGCATTACTTTTTTTACCTCCTTTTTTATGTTTTTTTTTTTTGAAATTTTAAACTTACTTCCTAGATTTTAATACATGTATAATTTAATGGTAACATCCAATTTTCTTGAAAATCAATGGTTCATTTTTAATACTGAAATTAGACACATTTTTTCACACCAATTTTTAGAGCTTAATTTTCATGCTCTTTTGACCTTTTAAAATTTTTTCCTACCCTTTAAGATACTTTAAAATTTCAAAAAATCAGAAAAAATAAGGTAAAATAATTAATGCAAACAATTGAGTGAAAAAGTGAAGAATTAAATTAAAAAACAGTGTCAAAAGCAGTATTCAAGACGTAGTTTTCATTTTGATGCAAAATGATTGTTACCATAATTTTTTACATTTCTTAACCTGTAGGAAGAAAATTTGAAATGTCAAAAAAGAATGAAAATTAACCTGCAGAAATTTAAGTGAAAAAATGTGTCTAATTTCAGTATTAAAAATGAACCTTTGAGTTTCAAGAAAATTGGATGTTACCATTAAATTCTACAAAAACATTCATGCATACAATTAATGGAAAATATGAGTGGAAAAAAAATTAATAATTAAAAGTCATTTTTATTGAAAATGGATCTTAAAATTAAATTCTACGCATTTTATAGCCTAGGAAACAATTTGAAATATTATCAATGGGCATTAATGAAAAACACTTGTTTTGTAAAGTTGGTAGACAGTTAAAAGTGGCTGCTTGTATTGGATTCCAGAGCCCCAATACACAGACTTGAAGTCATGAGACTCTGGAAACCAATTTTTCCAAAATTTTCATTCATAATCATTCTTCTAATATCCCAATCTAGTATATTTTTCAGAAATTTTGCAACTTTATTTTTTGTTTTTATTTTTTCATATTCATTTTATGTGACCTATTATGCAGCACCTGACCAAGTCTCATGACTTCCAGTCTGTGTTTTGAAGCTCTGGAATCCAAAATAAACAGCCACTTTTCACTGTCTACCCACTGTACACACAGATTTAGCCCAGCAGTGCGGCCACAGCCATGCAGTTTCCTGCACACACTGTGAGCCTGAGCCTCTGATGTGGCGACAGGACACAAGGAAAAGGGGGGAACTACTGATTGGATTTCGAGGAATAAGAGAAATACAACCAGAATTCAGAAGAAAAAGGGGAAAGGGAAAGAAAAGGAAATAGAAAGAAAAAGAGAAATAATTTTTATTTGTTTTTTGTCTTTTATTTGATTGAATCTGCAGTCTTACTTTCCGTTGGTAGGATGGCTGATAAGCTGTCGAAGACTAGCCTCTTCTGCAAAGGAAACTGTAGAAGGTTTTAGTTTGAATAAGTTCAGAACTAACCACTATTTTTTAGATCTACGATCAAGGCTCTTTAAAGGGAAACCTATGTGGTTTTCAGGTTTACCACCAAACAATGAGATGAAGAGAATAATTGATTTGATTTAAGAGAGAGAAGGTTAGAGAGAAAGATATGGTTGAAGAACCATATGTGAGACTGAGATAGCAGAGCAACAGAGAAATCAAGCAACAAGAAAGGATACTAACTGTCAGAGTCCTAGCACGACCACGTGGAGGTAAAACTGGGAGTTGGAATCCTTTCGACAAGTTAAGCGCCAAGCGGTAACAGGGTTGGTTGGTTTGTTGGTTGTTCTGGTTCAAAGTGAGTCTTAAAACCTTGAAGATCCTGAAAAATGCGAACTTAGAATCCTCTGACAGGATTTTCAGAGTTGGATTACGTAATGATTACATGTACTTGTGGTAGAGGGGGACAATAATTCTTGAGTAGCAGAATTTAGACAAGTGCGGTGAAGTGAGGCAAAGTATGTGAAGGAGTGGAGTAAGATAAAAGTGGTCAGTGGTGACTAGGGGTTAATTTAGCAGAGAAATCCATATCTGAAGTCAGATTCAGGAAATATCTTATGAGTAAAAATTTATGGTAATATTATAGTGAGAAAAGATGGTAAAAGCAGTCTTTTGGCCAGCTGTGCTGGCTCTAAGGCTGACACACACACACTTTTATTCATTGTTACATATGAAATTCTGAGATGCTCAGTGCTTTCCCAGGGTTGTGTGCCTGCCCAAATAATATTGTGAGACCAACCAAGCACATCAAAAACCACTCACCACCATCCAAATCCATTATCCCCACCAAAAAATCAACCCACCACTGCTCGGCAACCACTCAACCAAGTCAAATGTGAAATACTCAAAACTGCATCATTTTCCGTGCTCTCAGACACCACTGCCTCTGTTTTTATTAAACCCCAGAATTTTTTGACTTCTCCCCAGTGCTTGATTTCCTTGAATATTCTTCTACTACCCCCCATAAAAATCTGTATAATTCCAAAGAACCAAGTTTTGACTTCAGATCTTTTAACCTGCTAAATGAGCTGAATAAGCTGAGTCAGGTGGATGAGCTGAATTGGACTTTGCTACAGGAGCTGGATAAGCTGTATTTCAGGCAAGAGTTGGAGCTGGATGTGCTGGATAGGAGCTGGACAATGTGAATGAGCTGTATAGATGGTTTAACCTTTATCTGATGCACTAATACATTAAAACTTTAATGTATTTTTATTTCTGATAACAAAATCTTAATAACACTTTAGCTGTAACAGATGAAAAAATAACTCCACTGTATTCATGTTAATTTAACTAATTATGAAAATAACATTGATTCATCTTGAGAAAATTTGGCATAGTTATATTTGGTTTGGAACTTTCAGAGAATGTGGTTATATGTTGTTACTGATTGAAACTGTCTGATAAATATTTATTTTTGGTCAAGTGTTAAAAAGGATAATATGTGGTCCTTCAACAATTGATTTAACTGGAATAGCATCAGCTGCATGAGCAGAATTTCAATCTTATAAATCTGCTCTGTGAGCTGGATGAGCTGGATTGTCAGGAAGTATTGGAACTGTATGAGCTGGATTTTAGTCTAGAGTTGGAGCTGATCTAAATTTCAACCTGCAAGCTGGATGAGCTGAATTTAACCCTGTTGCAATACTTCAACCTGCAGCAGCTTGAGCTGGATGAGCTGGATTTAACCCTTTTGTGTGAGCTGTAAGAGCTGGCCTTCAACCTGCTTCATGAGCTGGAAGAGCTGGATTTGATCCTGCTAAAGGACCTGGACGAGCTGCATTGTAGGCAAGAGTTGGAGCCAGATGAGATGAATTGCAGGCAAGACTTGGTGCTGGATGAGTTGGATTTCAACCTGCTGAGTGAGCTGGATGAGCTGGATTTAGCCTTCCTGCTTGAGCTGGATGAGCTGGATTTAGCCTTCCTGCTTGAGCTGGATGAGCTGGATTTTAACCAGCTGTGTGAGCAGGATCAGCAGAATTGCAGTCTCCAGTTGGAGCTGGATGAGCTGGATGAGCTGGATGGTAGTCTATAGTTGGAGCTGGATGAGCTGGATTGTAGTCTAGAGTTGGAGCTGGATGAGCTGGATTTAACCCTACTTCATGAGCTGGATGAGCTGGATTTCAACATGATTCTTGAGCTGGATGAGCTGGATTTAACCCTGGTGCATGAGCTGGATGAGCTGGATTTCAACCTGATGTGTGAGCTGGATGAGCTGGATTTAACCCTGCTGGATGAGCTGGATTTAACCCTGCTGCATGAGCTGCATGAGCTGAATGAGCTGGATGAGCTGGATTTCAACCTGATGCGTGAGCTGGATGAGCTGGATTCAACCCTGCTGCAAAAGCTGGATTTCAACATGATTCTTGAGCTGGATGAGCTGGATTTAACTGCATGTGAGCTGGATGAGCTGGAGTTAAACATGATGCGTGAGCTGGATGAGCTGGATTTCAACCTGATGCGTGAGCTGGATGAGCTGGATTGTAGTCTAGAGTTGGAGCTGGATGAGCTGGATTTAACCCTGCTGCATGAGCTGGATGAGCTGCATTTCAACCTGATGCGTGAGCTGGATGAGCTGGATTGTAGTCTAGAGTTGGAGCTGGATGAGCTGGATTTAACCCTGCTGCATGAGCTGGATGAGCTGGATTTAACCCTGCTGCGTGAGCTGGATGAGCTGGATTTCAACCTCATGCATGAGCTGGATGAGCTGGATTTAACCCTGCTGCGTGAGCTGGATGAGCTGGATTTAACCCTGCTGCGTGAGCTGGATGAGCTGGTACATGATTCTAATATGTCATCTGGATTGTATGGATATAGCCCAAATTTATTGCTGGTACACTGAGCTGGGTGAGCTGGAGTTGAGATGGGCTCATCCAGCTCTGCCCTGCCTTCGGTTTCAAACCAGTGATCCTGGCACAATTATCTTCGGTTTCAAACCGAAGATTTCAGTTGACAAAACTCGCCAAAATGGGCCCAAAAGCGCCCCCAAGTCCTACTAAGCTCCCCTGAGCAACCCCTGAGGCCTTCCACAGGTACTTAAAGGGCCTTCTGACCGCCCAAATAATGATCCCCCAGCTTTACAATACTATATAGAAACATACTTACCATTTACAAGTCCCCTACACTTGTAATTAGCCTAGTTACTACTATTATTGCTGTTATTAAAGCCTCAAAATTCCTCAAGAAACTCAACAGTTATCACCCAGCACCCAAAACCAACCATTCTGAGCGCTCCCAACTGTCCAGTTCCTACTAAGAAAATCCTCAAGACCCCTTTGGATTATTACTAGTAAGTAATAACCCTTTCTTGAAGATTTTCCCCTAAAAATTATCTCCTGGGATTTAAACCACACCTGCTACAGGCCCCAGTGTATCAGGTATCTAAATCCTCTGCTTTTTGCACGATACCTTAGAGGGATTAAACCACCCCTGATTTATCAGGCCCCTCTGGTTTTATTTATATTAATTTTATTAATATAAATTGGCCACTTTTTGGATTTAATCCATAATTTTCACGTAATTCTTCTGAATTACTTGTACCAGTTTTGTCCCTGAGTTTTTACCATAAAAACTCTTATTTTTGCACCTTGTGTAGCTAGAAGACACTTGTCTTGGCATCACATAGGCTGACACCCAATTTCTCCAGAATATCTCCCAGACCTCCTTAATTCCTGTCCAATTTCCCATAGATAAATCCTTCAGAAGCAGGTTATAGGTGAAGGGAATGAGTATACCATGTGATTTGTGCATTCTTTCCAGAACTTTCTTGGTGTGTAGATCAATATTGATTTGAAGAAGCTGATATGCTAGGGCATGTGCACCAAATGAAGCTTTCTTACTCACTTGATTCGGAAACCAATTTAAAGCCTGAGAGGAATAATATTTATGAACAACTTTCTCTGATACAGTCTCAGGGTTGGATTTTGGTTTTGGGTTTTTCATTTGAAAGGCATTGGAAGACGAGCTAGGACGGTGTTGGTTTGTTTCATCTGTCAAATGGTTTTCCACTACCATAGATTGAGGGAATTCACTCTTGAAGTTACTGTTTCTTATACTTTTGAATGACGTTGTGCTTTCTTGAGGGACAGAATTGTGGTTGTGACTATTCCCATTCCTACCAAGATTTTCAGATGCTTCTATCTTGATTTTTTGTCTGCTGTCTGCAACGTTGTTTTTCTTTTCGCTGCATATTTTGGATCCACAGACTGGTTCTCTGGCTCTTGAGTTTGCACGAACCAAATTTTCCTTCACCAACATTTCTTCCTCTTGAGGCTCTCCCAATTGGAGATTTGTTGATAATTCGGCTGGTTGCGTTCTCGATTTTATTGCAAGAGTGAACATCTTCTTTTCAGAATTCAGTCTTTCGGAGTTACATTTCTTGCTTGACTGTAAAACTTTCTCTTCAGTACTGATCAACTCCGGCACTATCGTCGCTCCACGAGGGGGATTCAAAGACATCCTGAATACGCTTCTCGAGCCAATACCATTTCTCCGTTCGGAAAGCTCGTCAATTTCATTTTGGTTCCTATAAATATGATCTTGGCTGACCAGTTGTGAGTGCTTCATATTATTGAACTGACTGGGTTCCACTTCAAGTCCCATCCAAGTGCCCATGAGTCTGATAGATTTCTTTGGTCTTGCTTCACTAGCAACAGTAGCAGGCTGTAAATCCATGCAATTGTTTGTGCTGGCCAAGCTTTGATGTTTAGAGATCTGTTGAGACACTTGACTTGGTCTCATGGTTTCTGTTGACATTTCCGCGGCGCGATAGCGTTTGTTTGATTGAGAGATCGGATTTGATCTATCAAAGTCGGATTCTTGATTTTCCCCAAACTCGGCCGGCGCAGGAAACCAAACAGCCTTGTTGATCTCTCCCTCGTCCCCGATAGGAGGAGTGGATGAAGGGTACCCCTGGAATCCTTCGCTGTTGAATGAGCATGAACCGGACTTTTCCGGTCCACTGGTACTAGTCAGCTCGGAAACGAGGGTTGAATGAAGATTGCCCAATCGCTGAGGAGGGCGGCAGACGGTGTCATCAATCGCTTTACAGCCCATCAAAAACAGGAAAATAACATATTCCTGGTGTCTGCTCTTTTCCATATCTGCAAGATTGTAAGACTCTGCTGGTTTATTAAGGTTAGCCCGCGATTGTTGTGATGTGACTGTGAGTGAGGCCGAGACGAGGAGCTGGAAGTAACAACTTATCTTTATGTCACAGGGCCGATACTAGAGCCACATCGGTCCTTCCCTCCTACAAAAGTATGCAATTTCATGACTGAAGTACGGCAAAAGTACAGTGATCGCAATCCAACCTGCCCAGAGGTCTGATCAGTTCGATCAAACAACGTCGCCAGCGCGCGGTATGTTTCTTAATTTTAACCTTTAGGCTCTCGCGACAATTGCCGGTCCAATGTGTCTCCTATCTTGGTTGATAAATGCCTCGAGGAACACCCTTCAGGCGATTCGAAACCTAATTCCATCTGCTCCATAAAGTGGATGTCTTCCCGTCGCGGTTTACAACCCTCCCAGAATTGAATTTACACCCCCAAGATCTTAATTTTTGGTGTAAAAAATTGTTTTTTTGCAAGCCTGGTGATGATACCTCTCACATGAGCTGGTTGGAATCATGATTGGGGTGTTAATTTTAGACTGGGGAGGGCTTAAAAAGCACTCTAAATGGCGACGGGAAGTCCTCCACTGGCGCATAAAGCTATCATTTGTGTTACGATGACCTGTCCTGGGCCCCTCATAGACTCCCATCTTTGAACAAGAGTCTTGGTTAAACGACTCCTGAGTTTTGGAGCAACGACTCCCAAAACTCAGGGACATCGTCCAGATCAACTGGGTTTTCCCGCTTACTCTGCCAAGTTGCTTTCTGAAACGTGCGTATCACGCAGGTAGGTGGGTGCGACATTTCATCATAGCAAGGACCAGTAAGGATCAAGAAGTTGAGTTTAATCATCACTAATTAATGTTTGTTTTGCTTTCCTCTTTTGAACTCACTTTCAGGGACAGATTCAGCCTTTGTCCGGTGCACCCCTGCACCAGCTGACCTTTGCACCTACAATTCAAGTCCACCATGTACCATGGTTTCTAGACCATCACGCATGAGCACATGTGAGACTGGAAGACTTCCGTCTTTCGAATCAGAAGGAAATTTCCAGGAAGTTAGAAATTAGACAGGTGCCTGATCAACTGCGACGGGAGGTCCTCCGAGATCCTCCGCGTACTCTGTCTGAGGTCCCCTGCCCCGGCTGAAGCACCTGGCTCTTTTAATTACGAGGGAAGGGAAGTATTAAAAGAAGGTGCAAACTCTGTAGTATCTGCCACTCCTCGTGCAGGTATAACGTGAGGCCATAATAACGGCTCTCGAGGTTGAATTGATTCGATACCCCGACCTGCAATCATACTGCTAAGAAGTTATCCGTCAAAACCTGGCCCCCAGACTGTGATTGTCATTTGAGGCTAGGTCTTGTCCGTACACCCTTATTCCATCTCATAGATGCGACAAAGATGGATTTGATGGGTGACTTCGGTGGCAGAGAAGTCGCAACTTTGCCTTCATTGATGGTGGTAACATTCTGTTCGAAGGGCTTCCAACGACTCCCAGCCCTCCAGCTTGTACTGAGCCAGCGTCGTCATACTAGCGGGCCTCCACCCCCATCCTTGGGCCTCTTGTCAGACCATGTGAATCAAGACCCACGGAGGGAAACCGCCTGAAAGTCAAGACAACAGACACATGGCACATCTTAGCCCGTCTGAGACCAATGATCCTCAAGCCATCAGCCGGATGCAGACTCACTTTATACCAGTCACAACAGTGAGAAATCGCCGCTCGCATATATTTAACATCCAGATTCCAGACTGGCCCATAACCAGGACTGAATGGACTCGTTGACGAGAGCGTAATGGCGCATCAATCCAAAAAAGAATAGTCACATATTGACCGAGTTTAGCACGAAACGCTGTCGATATTCCAGAAAACTTTCAAGTTCTGCGCTGGAACCGGCCAAGTTTGAGTATCGGCTCCATCGCCGATCATCACTTTTGAGTCTTGACTCCCCATCTTGGGTTCGCATCATAATGTCATTGGCAAGCTTTGTACAACACCTGAGTCACATTTTTTTTTTTTTTTTTTTTTTGCGGTCCCTGGCACTGGCAGCGCTTGGAAGTTGGAGCCCAAGCTACTGCTACACATGGCACTTGGGGAGTTGAGCACCTTTCAAAGTTCTGATGGGATGGATGCACAAAACTCTGATATTTGGCCCCTGAACGTGCTCGCCTCCAAACGTGTGTCAGTGAGGCTCAGTAGCTCCATGACCATGTTTGCCGGATCTGAGGTGCTTTGCCTGAGCCATGTGCTGTCAGCCGGGGCTCAGCCGAACCAAAAAAACGATAAACTTCAATCTCATGGACCATGACAACCCGAGTGCTGATAATCGTCTGTTTACCTAAAGATTCCATTTTGTAATGTTTATCTGTTGATTTTGAGAAGTCAGACGGCAGTGCAGCACCTCACTATGACTTCGACTCCGGTCTATATATGCTCTTCATTAATCGTTGGCAGCGTTACCGGTTCTCCTATCCTTAATTTTCTCTAGCACCCGCAGCATACATACCATCCATAATTGCAAGCATTTCGTCATAGATTATCTGCTCTGATTTCGTATACATAAGTCCCCAACAATCCTTCGACTGACCACTTTCTTTATTTATATACTTCGTTCCTGTGTCTTTCTATATTCAACAGAAAATGAACTACCAAAACCACACCTATCGAACTTGGATGAGGGCTCTCAAATACTTCGATGACCAAGATTTGGACAGATCCCTCTACGTCTTCGAGGTAGGTTCTTCTCTAGCATCAGAAGTCGAAATCTAATGCAATGTTGAGTAGTCTGATCTGATTTCCTTTTGGGCAACTTTAGATGATATCCCGCTCGCCAAAGATATTTTTCAATCTGGGGATGATCCAGACTGGCTTGGGAGATTATCAATCTGCCGTCGACTGCTTCCAAGCGGCAGTCACTGATGAATCAGCCTCCGTCGTAGAATACTTCCAACTTGGGGCCATCCTCTTTTCCCTTGAAGAATACGAATCTGCCCACAAGAATTTCTCGATAGCTTTCTTGGTGAGTCTACCATCACTCAATCTACTTATTTACCTCTAATGCCTGGTTGGAAAGTCAGAGGCTGATCAAAACATTTCTTCAGCTCATGGGTGACCGCTCTCGTATTGATTGCCAAGAAGCAGGCCTGAACTATTGTTTATATTCTTGCGAGATACTGTTCAATCGTGCTATGTGCCTCCTGCATTTGGTCAGTCACCTTCCACTAGGCTGAAAATTGAGGGACCATGTGTTGACGACTGCAGGGTTTCTAACTTGTACTTGGTTCGTTATTTTTGCCTATAGGGAAAGTTTGACGAAGGTACAGAAACTTTGTCAGATGCTCGAGAGAAACAAGAATATCCATCACAGATTCCTTGTTCCTTGGAGGTCTTCAGTATGCCAGCTTTACGCGAAGACGGCAGTTACGGCTCACCGAGGAGGGCGGATTACTGGACGGTCTTCCAGGTCCCCAACGGGACTCTCTACTGTCCGGTACCACGGGCTGCAGACAGGATGTCGCAGTCCTCAGACTATAAGCTTGAAAGCATTCCTTCCAGTCCGACCGAGTCTATGCCATCCATCACCGGGGAATCTTCGTCGAGCGAAAGCCACAGCAGTGCTCGAAAATCTCCCTTCAAACTCTTCAAAATCGTCAAGCGGCGCTCGCCCCACCTCTTCAAGTAAAAATAAATTATACACCGGCTCCATCCCTACTCCAACAGTAGCTTCCATGTGTAAATAAATCATCTGTATGTTGTACAATCCCCCCCCTCCTCCCACCAAAATGACCATCTCTTGGGCAGACGGTTTCTATATACCACATCATGCTTCTCCGTTGGGCAACACTGCCATCCCTTTCGTAGCTACAACGACTAAGAATACCAAACAGTCTCCCGAAATATGTACGAAGAAATGACGACTTTGCTTCCAATCCGTCGTCTTTTAACCTGTGCTCTTTCTTCTCGTTGTTTCTGTTTCATTCACATGCCTCGTGCCCTTTTCTATCTGGCTGTTGTGTTTCGTATGTTGCCTTTTTTTTTCGGTGTAAGAAGAGAAAGATGCTTATTTTATTCGGAATGACAACAAGATCATGAAAACGAAATTTGCAGGAAATATCATGTCCAGAAGAGTGGGAACATTGAGCTAGCCCCTATGTCCGCATAGCATCAAGTCTACTGAGATGAAGGGAGACGCTTGCAAGTGATTTCCACAACTACTAGCACTTTATTTTCTCATGAATCCCAGAGTAGGAAGAACCAGCTAACCCACACCGACTTGTTTTGGGGAGAAGACCTTCACGCCTTGCCCTGAGAATGGAGGCTTGGCGGGTGCACCTCTCGTGTACTTTTGGTATGTCGTCAAAGGGCCAAGAAGCTGTCTACATACACCAAGTGTGTGACACAGTAGGGCAAATGGGAGCAAGCGGACCTATTGGGCATCCTGATCCGCCACCAATCCCAGAAATATCCCCCTCACTCCAGGTAGCTCCTGGCTTGAACCAGCTAAACACAGATTTCAATGTTATATATGGCAGACCTTCGTATGGATCAGCCATTAATAGGTGTTCAAGTCGGCTATATTCTAGGCAAACAAAGGGGAGCAGATGAAGGTGTGATGTCTTCACCATTGAAGATTATCTATCCTTAAAATTGTGGATCTTCCCAAAATGTATCAACTAGCTCCATCAAGCTCCATCCAAGTACATCACAAATCATCAAAGAATATTAACAGCCAAGTCACAGATTTTTGATGCACTCATTTGATTATATGATTTTCAACGTTATGACACCTGAATTTAAAGAGAGTTGTTTTTTTTTGAATCCACAAACGTTCCAGGAATGCAGATTAGGCTCACCAGAGGAATAACCTCTGGTTGAAATCCGGACATGCAAGAGCTTTGAGAAATCTGATCCTTCCTGTCCGGTGGTCTTGCGTTCATTCAATCCCTTGAGAGCGCATGTGCACTTGCAAGAAAGTGAGGGGCTGAACATGGCACACCGGCGAACTCTACGCATTTTTGAAGCCTCAGTCTTATTTGATTGCAGGCATTCTGCAATGGAGATGACAGCAGCAATGATGACGCCAGGTTGAGTGACCTGGCCCGCACCAACCCCTGGAGCTGGAATCTCAAAATGGGCGGCAGCAGGAGCCAGAAGACCCCACAACAAGGCCGTAAAGTGGAACTAACTTGCGGATTCATCAGAAGCGCAAGCCTCAGTTTATACAAGGTCTTTGGAATGCGCCAGTGTTGCCTCAAAATTAAGTGGAACTGATAATTTGTTTCGTTTTCAAAAGCAATCCTTGATACATCGATGTATTCCCTAATCAAGTGGCTGTCATACAATTTCATACCAGGGCTGATAGTTGTCACTGTCAGTACTATTGTCAAGGTTAACCCTACAGAAATAGACGTCATTGAAAAGAAAAAAAAAAGTTTCAAGTAGGTCAGGAGGGGTGAAGAGTCTTCAAAGGCTGGATGAAAATCTGACGGCCTGAGAGCGAAAAAAAAAGGAACTGACTAATACGAGTCGGAAAACATCATTGAGGACAAAGTAGGTCCCATTTTCCTGAACGAGATGGAACGCTTGAGAGAACTTGAGGGGGTTCTCTTCACCGTCGACCTAAGAAAAGATGGCCGGGGAAGGGAAAATAAGAAATAAAAACCCGAGGCAGGAGGGGGTAAGAAAGGAGGAAAAGAAGGGAGGATCGGACGAACTAGAAGAGCACCGGTGACGAGGACGATGATGCTTGGGTTGGAGGAGTTAGAGGGCTGGGCATCGAGCGTGTGGACTTGATGAGAGACCTTGGTGAACGACAATTCCTGGAGCTTTTTGACGATGTTCGTCGTTCCAACGTATGGGTTCGCCTCGAAAGTTAGCATCGATTGGTCTCGCTGAAAGTCATTAAACCCGGAATCCAACAAAGTCAGTCGTTCCGTAAGGTCAGTCATAAATGGTCTGTCTTGGGTCTCACGTAGAGTGGTGCTAGTTGGCTCCGGTCCGAATCACTGCCAAAGACATATGTGCAATCAGAAATCAGGAACGTGAATCTCGTATGATGATGATGGAAGAAATGACTCACAATTTTTCATAGCTGTTTCATATTCGTGTTCCGATCGGTCAATCAGACATACATCATCAACATACACTCATCCGAGGTGGAGTGGCTGAGAGACAAAAATCATAGCCACGTACTAAAATTGAACGAACTAGAACCCGGGAATGCACATGTAAGAAAAAATCAGTGCGTTCAAATCAAGGGATAAGAAAAAAAAATTGAAGATGATTTATTTACCTGAGTAGCGACATCAGTAGGGTTAGACATTGTGGTATCTTCCGAGAAACTAACGGACTGGCGATCGGATGGATGAACCTGAGTGAGGGGGGGGGAGCCTAAGGAATAACGCCGAGGAGTGAAGTTAGATTGTGTCCTGAAGGAAAGAGAAGAGAGTGAAGAAACTGACTGGCTATCAGGCAAAAGTGGGATGATGTTTATTGAAGATGGGAGTGGAGTGACTCGGTCAAGCCGACCGGAGAGTTCCAAGCGGGCTTAAGTGTTTCAGGGGTCCGCGGGCCGACGGGCGCATCCGGAGCACCGTCGCACGCTGACTCGCCAACCAACCAAACTTCGACCCAGCATCCAGAAAAAGTCAAAGACTCACATTTCCATATGTGCTTGCCCTCTCAGTCTAACTGATCAAAACTCCTCAAGCAAAAACTTCTCCGCTGCCACTGAAATCTATCCACTAAAAAAAACTGAGTGGGATCGTTGCATCAGGAATCTAGAGTTTATGTTAAAATCATCCATGATATGCCCACAGGATGGAATGTGACATTTTCATTGCAACAAAAGAAAATTGGGAAAATCATAAGAAATCTTGTAAAATTAAGATACTCGAGTGCCACAAAAATTGGAATGTCTCTGACACCAAGAAGGCTTTGGGGGAGCCTTCACTGAGGCTCAGGTGAACCTTGCCTTTGTAAGTGTCCAAACCACCCCACCACACCTTTGTCTACTAGTACAACATGCCTGTGTGGTAGGTAAGCTTCAAGTGTAGCATGAACCAAGTTACACATGTATCCTCTTGATGTCACTTGTCAGCCAGAGAAACAACTTTTTTTGTGCCATTGTGGTGAAGGAGTCAAACTTATGATCCTTCATCTGATAGATGTGAATGTATTTCCCATACAACTAAGATGGCTTGGGTCAGGGTAATGAGACAGGTCATCAGAAAAATGACTACATTTAATGAGGGACCAATCAAGATAGGTGATTGGAACTAGTTATATGACTTGTCTCTGAGCTTTCCAGGTGCTCAAACTGGGCCTGGACCTTGGGGGTCATGAGCTGAAACCCTAAATGATCTGCCCATTCTCCACCCTACATAAAACCATACAAGACATATACTAAAATCAAATTGACATTAATATGGACAAGCCTTCACAGGATTGAAGCATGTTCTATGATCATACCACAAATACAAATTTTGATCCCATGTTCCCATGAGAACAATATTTTCCCCACAATTTCCAGAGTTCATTGTGGGAATGGATTCACTACAGGATTATTTGATTGATTTGCTGGTCATGTTTTTCCCTCTCAATTTCTGATTTCTAAGACATTTACCAGGAAGCTTATTGCTCCAATTCACACCCATAAAAACATTCCCAAACTCAATCCATTCTTTGAGCCAAATTCCAAAAATATGTTCAAGTTCATCACAATAGGTCTTGCATGCTACGCCAAGCTTGGATTTATCTTGGCTGCTCCAGCCGACCTTGCTAACTTGGCACCACCTCCTACTGTCTATGGAAATGCCCCAGTATCATACATGGATCCTCATAATTTCAGAAACCGTAAATTTTCTTCAGGATTTGAATCCCCAATGATTGCTCCCACTCCTCAGGACAACATGTGGGATAGAAGAAACAGGCCAATTGATATACCAAGTGAAATGGAATCAAGCACTTTCAGCCATTGCAGTTGCAAAGAATGTGGTGAATGTTGTGTGTTGTCCACTGGAATTGGCTGTATTCTCTGTTGTGCTTATTTTACAGTATATGGGTCAGTTTCATAGCACAAAAAATTCATTCCAAATGATTCATGACATCAGCTGATATCCTATTTTTATGCTTTTATTATTTAAGGTACAAAACCTTTTTCACAGCTGATGATTACATTAAAAGATTTTTTTGATTGGGTTTCTTGGACCTCCAGAAGAAGAAAATCACCCAGTGAATTTCAGTTTAGAATGCATCAATAAATATTTCTACCTCTTCAGCCATGAACTTCTACTCAGAATTCTTCCATTATCCTGTGCATCCTTTATCCAAAGTCTTGCTACAATTCTTTATCTTGAGATTTGTCTTTGTTCTGTTTTCTATTCAAGACTGCAACTCTCATGATAAAGTCAGCAAAAATATAAACATCAAGCATCTTCAATATTTCAAAGGATCTACCAGTAAAATCTAGTTTGCAGTAAATCACATTCATTTTGTGTAGTCCGTTTGATTGTGAGTTTAGACTTTATCAAAACCCCTACATTCTTTTACTACTGCAGCAGTTTCTTCCTTCAGACATGTCTGTTGTGATCCTCTTTCTATAGACTCAGAATATAAGATATGAAAATTTGCTCCAATATAAAATTAGTGGAGCAACATTTATTGATATGGGAGTGGGGTGACTTGGTCAGTCAACCAGAGAGTTCCAAGTGGGATTGTGTGTTTCAGGGATCCGCCAGCCAACAGGTGCATGTGGAGCACAGTTCCACGCTGACTCAGGCATCATCTTTTCCAAGGTCCAACCAACCAAACTTCACAGTATCCAGAAAAGGTCCAAGACACAAATTTCAATATTTGCTTTCCCTTTCAGTCTAACTGATCAACCATTCTCAAGCAAAGCATTCTCTGCTGCCACTGAAATCTATCTGTTCAAAAATTGAGCCGGGACTCGGCTTGCCTCAGTAATCTTATGAAATGAATATACTGAAGGAACCAAGCTTGAGATCCTTCATCTGATAGATTGGTAGAATCCCTTATGGATTCTTCACTTGTTGTGGATGTGATTTCAAGAACAAAGCTGTATTCTTTGGGAGACCAATTCTAGAAACACAGTATGTTGAATTGCTTGATCAGTAGAATATAAAAGTCAGGTTGATCTCTACAATCTTTATGATGAGAAAGGAAATACAAAAAAAATGAGGAAAGAAAGATATAATGAAACAATTATTGGCTTACCTAGCTAAGTAAAAGAGAAAATTCAGGTTGGTCTCTACTGAGCTAGGAGGGGGCCAGGGGGAATGGAGACTAAGTATTTGACTGAGATGATTATGCAATCTAAGATTGAAATCTGTGTGAAACCTGTTGTTGGGGTTTCACATAGATGTGTATGTATTTCCATACAACCATACAAGACATACAATAAAATTGAAATGAAATCAATATTTTGATTAGCCTACACAGGATTGAAGCATGTTGCATGATCATACCACAAATACAAATTTTGATCTCATGTTCCCATGGGAATATTATTATATTTTCCCCTACAATTTTCAGATTTCATGGTGGGACTGGATTCACTAAAGGATTATTTAATTGCTTTTCTGGTCATTCTTTTTCCTCCTCAACATCTACTTTCTCAAACATTTACTTGGAAGCTTATCTCTACAATTTTAGTCACATAAAAATATTCCCAAACTCAATCCATTCATTAGGTAAAAATTCCAGAAAATATGGTCAAGTTCATCACAATAGTTCTTGCATGCTATAAGCTTGGATTTATCTTGGCTGCCCCTGCTGACCTTGCCAACTTGGCACCACCTCCTACTGTCTATGGAAATGCCCCAGTATCATACATGGATCCTCATAATTTCAGAAACCGGAAATTTTCTTCCGGATTTAAAGCCCCCATGATTGCTCCCACTCCTGAGGACAATGTGTGGGATAGAGAAAACAGGCCAATGGATATTCCAAGTGAAATGGAATCAATCACTTCAAGGCATTGCAGTTGCAAAGAATGTGGTCAATGTTGTTTCATTGAAACTGTAATTGGCTGCATTGTTTTGGGTGGTTATTGTATGACATTTTGGTCAGTTTCAAAAATTCATTCCAAATAATTCATGACATCAGCTAATGTTCTCTTTTCTTCTTCTTGTATTTTCTATGTCACAAAACCTTTTTCACAGTTGATGAATACATGCAAAGCATTTGTTAAAAATTGGTTTTCTTGGAGCTCTGGAAGATAAAAATCACCCAAAAATTACATTTTAGAATGCATCAATGAATGTTGCTACCTCTTCACCAATGAACTTCTATTCAGACTTCTTCCATTATCTTGTGCATCCACTATCCAAAGTCTTGCTAATTTTTTATCTTGAACTTTGTCTCTATTCTCTTTTATTTTAAAAACTTGAACTTTTGTGGTCAATTTGGTCAAAATAGAAGAATCAAGGGGTTTTCATCTTCAATATTTGAAATACTCTACCAGTAAAAACCGGTTTGGAGTAATCTTACATTCCTTTTGTTTAGTCTGTTTGATTCTGAGTTGAGACTTATATCAAAACCCCTACATTATCCTTTAATTACTGCACCAGCTTCTTCCTTCAGACATGTCTGTTTTGGTCCTATTTATATAGACTCAGAATATTAGATATGGAAAGTTGCTCCAATATAAAATAATCATCTCGGAACTCAAGCCCACTCCAAAAAAGTGTGGTGACTCATCCTTTGTTCTAAGCAGGATCCACTGTAGAAGAGTATGTTTCCATGCAGTCCGGCTTGAAATTTACAGGATTGGCCAACAAAAGATAGGGGAAAAATGGTATAACATTATATGTCTCCTATCTTAATGGATATTTATGAGTCATATGAGCAATGTAGTAAGAAGAATTGGAATTAAATTTACAGAATGTTTTACATTAACAGAGTTATCAGCAGGAAATCAGGTCTACAGGCCGGAGGAAAGAACAACGGAATAGAATAAAATGCTTATTTAGACATGTTGCAATGATTATTCTTTTCTTAATCTTCAAGTAAAATCCAAATGAATTGGTGAGATTTATACCCAATCTCACGTTGATCAAGGCATATTTTTATCCTCAACCTCCCTTGCTGAATACCATACAGCCTGGCCATCTTATCACCTATTTGAGCATGTTTCCTTTCAAAGAATTAGATAATCTGAAAAATATCAACATCAATTGGAAGACTTCCCATCCAATCTGGAACCCTTGCAGATGTTGAATTAGACCCAAAAAGTCTATATTTTTTGCAGAAAATTGTATTCCTTTCAAGAATCCAGAGCTGTTTTGGGACCCACAACTTTTGACTAGAAGTCATCCATTCCTTAGTTTCTTTCCTAAGGATTCTCATTTTTACAATACTACTATGTACCACTCAGAACTTATGTCTTTACCTAACCGTTATTTCCTCCCTTTTTTGCCAGGTTTTGACCTTCTTTGTCGATTGCAAGGAATCGGGGAAAGATTGAAGTCAGTTCACCTTTATAAATTTCCTTCCAATAAGGATGACTGGATTCATTCCTTACAAACTTGGTCCTCATGGGCATGAATAGGGTCTTTCAAATGATCTCAATCCAATCAGCTTCAACAGAAACCAACTTCAGTAGAAGCTTTGTGGCACTAGGAGGAACTCATTCAAAAAAATAGCGCTTGAGTGAATTCCTCTACCCATTGTATTTTCGGCAATTCCAGATTGCAGCCTTGTGGCATTGAGCCTCTGATTGACTAAAACTTGAATATAAAAAATGCCAATTTCCGACCCGGCCATTATTCATTGCACATATCTTCATCAACCTGGTCGTGAAATACCTGTCTGAGCAAATGCGGCCTCGTAGAGGCACTAACCCAAAACAATGCATCTTCGGTTAGTACGTGACAATGCCTTCGAGCAGACTTCAAGTAGGAAAGTTGATCATTCAAACTTGTTGCAGGCCGACAATATCAAAAATATCTTTGAGCCCCCGTCTCACTGAGGAAGGATTGCACTATACTTGAAGTTGAAGTAGTTCCACCGGGGATGATTGCTCACTTCTGTCGTTGACGGTCGAGTTTTTTCCTGAACGCCTACATTTTCAAGCATTCAAAATTCTCCCAGAAAATTCCGTTACCTATCCAATTAGACTCTTGCATCCATTAAAATAGATTTACAAGTAGAAGCTACAAATATGTTACGGTTGCCGATAATAATCCTCGCATGCTTTACACCTAACTATATCTTGGCTGCTCCCACTGAGCTTGCGAATTTAGCTCCACCCCCAACCGTCTTCGGAAACGCCCCAGGCCCATTTATGGAAACTGCACTATATCAAGATAATCTCCTCCGAAATCGCAAATTGCTACTTGAAGCAGTTTCAGTCCCATCGCCAATGAGTGCACCCATTCCCAAACAGTCGATGGATCGCAATGAGGATGTTTCATCTCCAACCCCAGTTCAAGCAGAGCTGATCAGATGGTTTATGAAGACTCGCTACGGGGGAGCTTTTACGCTTAATGACGACTTCACATTCCACGAAAGGCACAAGAAATGTTGCGAGGTTGAATACTGCTGTGGAAAGACTAAGATATATAACCAAGCCGGCGCATTGATAAAAAAGACAGGTTGTTGTCATTCTCCTGATCATTATTCATCAAGAGCTTCTTTCAATTGCGGGGAATGTTCTGTCATTTTTGGATCAATCGCTGGTGGTGTCCTTATCGCAGCCTTGGCGGTTTGTCTAACTGCCAAAAACGTATAGAGAAAACAAAGTCAGTCTTTCAAGAAACTTGGTGTTAATCAATTGCACAGCTGTCAGCGAAAACAAGATGCTTTAATGGCCTAACCATATCTCCATAATCAACTTGTTAAAGGTGAATATCTAGATACAGAATGCATGTTCTCCCCAATCGGCCGTCTCGCGGATTTTTATAAGAACATCAAATATTTCAAGCAAAAAAAAAATTGATAAAATATTACGCCGTTTGACTGATTTCCAGGAGTTTTTATACATTTTTACGAGCTTTATGTTCAACTGTGGATTCTTTTTTATATTTCTAACTCTATGTTGATTGGGATCTTCCAGTCTTACTCGTGTCCAGGGATGGTTTTGCCGCCATGAGTCCTTTATACCATCTGGTTCTCTTAAAATTTCATCGCTTTCAACTATTTAAACAGAAAAACAGAAGAAGAAAAACCAACCTTGTTTCTGTTGACTAAACAGATAATGAAAGAACCACAATGGGATTTAAGATCTTACGCGGTCATTCCGAGCCTTTTCACGCCAGATGCGGGTTGTGATTGTTGGTTTGATCAGTTCGGGCCCGTTCTCCACTCCGATCTCCCTGAGGCTGAATGAGTTATATCTAAAGGTATTTAAGTGTATCTCAGCCGGTGAACCTAAGGTGTCACCCATGTTTACCATGTTTAACATGGGCATGTAGCACATAAACGTTACAAAAACCCCATGTTTTTGGTACATTTTGGACTCAAGAGCAAGAGATTGATCAAACATTTTGGGCAAAGTGAGCAAAGAATGCGAATGCCAAGGCTTACGAGTGGGGTCAGGGGGGATTCTATGAGTACAATACACCTCAATGGTTGGTGGGAAGATACAAAAGGTGGGAATTTCGGTCATTCAAAAAAAAGCCTCACCAGAATCCGGTTTTGACGCGTCATTTGACTCACACAAGATCTTGAGGTTCCTCAGACATAGGGGTCCCTGATCATTGGCGCGCTTCGTGCTCCTTCTAGTGCCGGCATGCGAAGGACTGTACAGCCAATCCCAAAAACCTTGCGTTTCCGGGCCTGTGATCTAACTTAACCAAGTCCCTCTTTATTCGGAGGGGGGACGCCGTCCCGCAGGGACCCTCCGACTTCGGAGGGTCGCTTCGCGACGAAGGGGGACTTAGCTGCTAAGTTCGGCCTGTGATTGATTAATTCAGAACTTGAAGAAACATTTTGCCGATACTGGTTTCTGACCCGGTCTTATGTATCCATTTCCACCTCACAGTGGGCGTGCACCCTTGCAGCTCGGCATGAACGTGATCCTGAAATTTCTGTCTGGGGAAAATCAAAACGTGTTGCGGGTCAATATTGTTCCTATCCTGGATCGCGAGTCGTTCTCAGTTTCATAGGATTCCTCACCGGTTGATGCTTGAGTAGACTCTGGTGAAGAATGATCACTCGCTCATTCCGGTGGCCTGCATTCTCCCCCAACCTTCTACATACTTTACCAACCATTTTGAAGCATCGAAAATTCTCGCAGCTATCCCGTCATCTTGAAGTACTCTTGCATCCAAACAGATTTATAAGCACACGCTACAACTATGTTGCGGTTACCGATAATAATCATCGCTTGCTTTACGCTCAGCTACATCTTCGCTTCTCCAACCGATCTCGCTAATTTGGCCCCAGCCCCGGCGCTCCTTGGAAACACGCCAGGTCCATTTATTGAAACTGGATTGCGTGAAAGGAATCCGCTCCGAAACCGCAAATTTCTACTTGAAGCACTTTCAGAGTCGTCGCCGATGAAAGCACCGATTCCCGCGAAGGCGATGGACCGAAATGGGGTTCAGATTTTATATCCGAACCCGTTACAATCGGAGCTCATTAAATGGTTTCTAAGAACTCGCTATGGGGGACCTTTTACACTTACAAAGGACGGCCAATTTCTGGAAAGACACAAAAAACCTTGCGATCCGAAATATACTTGTGGAAAGACTGAGATCTTTGACGAGGATGGTGCAATGATTAAAGAAACAAGCTGCTGTTTCTCTCCTCACCACAGTACGGATGGAGCTGCTAGGAATTGCGCCGAGTGTAGCATCATTTTGGGACCAATCGGTTCTTGTCTTTTGCTCACTGCTGTCGTCCTTTGTCTACTCAAGAGTATGTAGGGAGAACGAAGTACGTTTTTCCTGCAATTCTTTACTAATCAACCGTCGAAATGCCTACTAAAATGATCTGTTCCGTTGCCCTGAAATGTTCCTCATATCCAGACAAGCTCAAAGACGAATAGCTAGATCCAAAATTGGAATTATTCTGAATCATTCGCTTCATCAAAAAACTCGTATCACATCGCTTTAATCCCGAACACGTGTCAAAACATCACCACCTGTGGATTTCCGCTTTGGCTCCATTTCTTTGCAAGCAAAAAGAGAGAAAACTCCATTTTGAATTGTGATCATCCATTGCTACTTATGTTTGAGGGTGGCTTTGCCAACTTGTCATCAAAGAGGTCCACATCATTTTCTATTTCTAAATCATGTGTGTATGTGGGTTTGATACATTAAATTGAGTTGAGTTGACCAAGTATAAAGAAGTCATAAATTCGAATAAGGGAAAGATTTCCCTGAGAGATCAATTCTAGCAGTTGATGTCAATGATTCCAGTAATAAATTGCTACTGGAATGCTCAGATTATGTATGAGAAAAGCTGTTAGTTAACAAAACCTGGGAGCCACTCAACACACCCAAGTGATGGACTGGAATGGTTGTTGTTTTTGACCATAAACCTTTTAAAACACATTTCAAGATCAAAGACTGCACAAAAAGCATGGGATCTTATGATCACTTCATGTTCTTGATCTACAGGAGGGAGGAAAACATGAAGTATATTCATCTGATTGAAAAAAGCCATTTTAGGCAGCTAATTAAACTGAAAATTGATTTGTGAATCTTATTGGTCTGGTAATTTTAGGTAAGTATGCAAGGAAGAATCATTCAATACTTGTATGGCTGTTTTCACATGGAAATTTAATTGAATTAAGATTTCTTGATGCCACCAAATACAATCATTTACAACTTTTAGCTTATTTCATTTTCCATTATAAGCCAGTCTATAAGAAGGAAGAAGAATTTGATTTGCCCATATCATACAGACCAAGAAGTCCTTCATTTGGGTTTGGGGGGATCCTGTCAAATGGATAGGTAAATTAATCCAAAAAAAAAACATTGATTGAATTTTCTTGATTTTTGGTCTTAATTAGTTGACTGTAATGTCACATAAATTTTACATCAATTTAAAGAGAAGTAATTGCCAATCTTGCTTTTGACTAGTCATAGTAGGCTCTAATGTTTCCCTCCTAAAGGTCAATATGATAAACATATATAGAGACATCAACTGAGGGTAAAGAGGGAATCATATAACATTTAACGTAGATTTTCCAATGTATCTGTGCCTTCCAGAGGGTGATTCAGCCATTCATCCAGAGTATGCTAGATTGTGAAGAAATGAGCCCTAATGGACAGCTGAGATTTGTGATATGATGAGGATTGTATGATGACTGCAGAAGAATTTCTTGTTTGGGTCACCCACAATCTGCAAGGCTGTAAGAGCTGTAACCCTTCACTGATCTTACCTTGACAATCAGGAAATGGGGGGAGGAAGCCTAAAAGTTTCTCAAACCAAGGATGGGAGGGGGGGGGGGTTATTTCAAGAAGGGAATCATTTAGACAATCAAGAGAGGAACTGTCTCTTTCAAATCCAAGACATTAAACAGAAAACAAGAAAAAATAATCCAAAGGGAGAGAGAGAGTGAAAGATCCTAGCTAGAGGGTGGAAGGAAGACTCTGCCATCTATGATCTAGTTAGATGTAGGGATGTAAATGGGTCAGGCCGACCTGGAAAGACCCATGTACTGTTGGGTTTGGTCAGCCTTCAGGTCTTGCCATAAAGAGCTGACCCACTTGAAAGTATTGGTTGGGTTTGGGCAAAGGTTATTTATGTGGGACGGCCCACAAACCTGACTAAAACCCAGTGGAGCACCCACCATGGACAATTTCCAACTCTTGCAAAGCTTGCTAAAACAATATTGATGGTTCCAATAACATCAATTGCATCAGAGGCTGCATTCTCCACAAGTGGAAGAGTCCTCAGAAAGTATTCAACTAGAATGAAGCCAGGCAGGCACACTTGAGGCCCTTTTATGCGGTCAAGACTGGATCCAAAGCAAACAAGGTCTCTACACTGACCCTGATGAAAATCAGTTTGACATTCAGACATCTTCTTTTTTTCCCTACTCAACTAAGTCAATATATCTACAATCAAGACATGACTAATCGGTTTGGGTTTGGGCAGTATGTTGGGAGTTTTGCCCCGACCCAACCCAAGCCGGCATTCACACTGGGATGGGTTTGGGCACCATTTTTTGGCCCAAACCCGGCCCATTTACATCCCTAGGTAAATGGAGAGGAACCAGACTCAGTCCTTCAAGCTTGTCAGCTGGTGACCGGGTGTTTGAAAGCTAATGGAGGAGCAGGGTTCCCAGTGGCTCAACGACAACCCAGCATCTGCTTAACAGAATGAGAAGACCCTCACCTTTTTGAAACCAGTATCAACACCCAACCAGCTATCCTAGAAGTAGCAAAAATGGTGGGCCAGTTATGCTAATGGCGCATACCATAGCTGCCCACAGACTGCCAATCTCCAATTTTTTGGCAGTAAATGTTTTTTGACCAAAAACACATACCACAGGGGTCAGATTTTCTGACAAACCAACTTATTGTTTTTTTTTTTTCACATTTGCTGCTGTTTGGTTTGAAAAAAACACACAGTGCCACTTCTGGTCTCCAAAGCAACCACATTATGTACAAACTCTACACACAGATGATTGATCCTACACTCCTCAAGATATCCAGCTCAACCATCTAATCATGGGTCCGATGATCAGGTACCACAACTACCACCTCCACTGTTGCTTGTACCAGAAGACAAGGCCTCAGAAAATAAACAACCAACTACTTTAAATTGTACTCATTTTTGGTTACAACATCATCACTGATCTCATCTGCAAGATAAGCATTGTATCAGCAATACAACTTTGTCATGAGGTCATCACATCC